GGCGATGCAGGACCTGCAGGACGCAGGTCCTGTGACGTTCTCTGATATTTACATGTAAAAGAATTGCTTCGCTTCTATATAAAAGTCATAACAAAACCTAGGCAAACAAATGAAGCATACAATGGGGGCGACGAGCGGTTGAAAATTTAATATATATATATATATTGTTCGTACTGTTTCAACTTCGATCCCCTCGATACCCAACAAATTTCGAGGACTCAGACACTGTGTCCTATCGACGACTCGTTTTCGACTCGTCGTATATATTTCGACACCTCGGCACTCATCAAAGTTTCGAGTACTCAGAGAGAAATCACCTATCGAAATAATACTACCGACTCCTCTAATATTTTTTAATCACTCGACTAAAATAAATATATTGAACGGATCATTTGAGTGCTTCAAAAGAGTAAAACCGATCATAATAACAGTTTTGACAGAGGAGTCTATAATCTTGATCATGTGAAACTTCTTCAAAATCGGATTTTAAAATATTCTTTATTTTATTCAATAATTTTATTAGAATTATTCGAGTTTGCTTCATAATTCACCTTAATTTCAGAATTTTCTGATCAGAATTGATCGTCCACCAATTAAAACTAAAACTAAAATTCGCCTACTTTTTTTGACTAAGGCAGCCATAATGAATGTTCACGTTGTGAATTTTTAAAAAGTTACTAAATATTGACTTCATGTTTCCACGTGCAAATTGATTGATTATCACATAGTGCACACCATATTTATTCGATAAGTGATTTATACGCAGGGTTGCCAGATTGTCCGAATTGTACCCCCTCATAGTGACTACGTAATATGTGAATGTATTACAGAATTTACACTACGTAACATGTGAAATCAGAAAATATTTCGCATATTACGTAATCACTATGAGGGGGTACAATTCGGACAATCTGGCAACCCTGTTTATACGTAATCTTAAATAAAAAAATTTCTTGTGTCACTTACAGAGGTACAAACATTTTTCCTTCTTGATGAAATTTTTTTCATGATTAAAAAATTTTCTCGATTAAAATATATAATTCTTCGTTTTCAAAAAATATTCTTTTTTCGTGTACTCAAAAAGCGAGTACACTCTAGAATCGGTCAGTGTGTCCGGTCGTCCATCCGTGTACACAATAACTGTTCACAATTACATCCGATTGAGCTGAAATTTTGTGCACAGAATTGTCTCATCAATACCTTGGTCGAGTTCGAAGGTGGAAAGGATCCGTCAAGAAATGGCTGAGTTATCGAAAAGAATTGTCATTTTTGACCAGACCATCCCTGAGGGGGGGGGGGTACAGGGACTTTTTCAAAAAAAGATTTTTTTCTCAGAATTATTTACAACATATATAAATCGACTCAGTTTTTAAGAGTGATTCCGAATCTGATATAAGTTTTGAGCCAAATCGTAGCTTTCTAACAAAACATCGCCTGAAAAAGATCTCAAAATGCACAAAAACTGCATCTAGAAACCAAATTGTCTAGATATGTCTCAGATGACCAGTAGTTTTGGGGTTTCCCAAATATCTGATTTTGTAGCTTGTCAAAAGGACTATCGAACGGTAAAAATCCGAACTCGATAGCTATTAATATTGGTGATTTATTCGGAAAATACTGATGCCTTTATCTATCATATATCTCTTATAGATTGATGAAGTTGCTTACGATCGTAATCCCGCTAGATACAAACGCAAATTCATTCAAAAATAACTCTTTTTACCCAGTTTTCGAAGCTAAACACGAATCTGAACTCAATTTCTGTGATTTCTAAAGATATTATATCACTCTGAGAGTAGAGTCAGTGGTCACCGGATAGGGTCGCATACAGTGGGGTCCATGCTGACTTAGTTTTGAACAAATAAAAACAAAGTGAATATACCTTTTCACTATTTGAAGTAAACATAACAATCGGATTTAAATCCGAGGTTTTCGTATTTATTTTCGGATGGAAAATATTATTTCTAATGTTTAAAAGAAATTTTTCTTTCTGGACGAAAAATACTATTTTCAGTTTTCAAAAAATAAAATCAAAAATCAAAAAAGATGAATGATATTTACTATCTTCTTATTAATTAAAAGGTCGTTTTGATATGAGAATAATAGTTCATTTTTAGATCAGCTGTTCGATGAAAATTAACTCGTAAGGACCCATCTTCAAATCTACTTGTCCGCATGTGTTCGATGGGTTTCGACAACTCAAAATTGAGACATCTATCGGATAAAAGTTCCTTTTTTTGATGAAATTCAGATCCATCGGAAACTACTATTCGAGCGGTTGAAAACCGCTAGTAAGAACAATCTATCGCCGACCTCTCAACCCATCGGAAAATGACTTTTGCTTGGACCGATTTCGAATTTCGATGCTCAACAGAAGCAAAAATCGACGCTTAGAAATACCTATTGAATGGTTGGTTTGGAATAGCCTAAATGTATTTCTAAGTGGACGTATTGCAAATAAATAACATTTGGGGAAAATGAAGAATTTTCGACAATTCTTCCATGTCTGGTAAAAGCAAATGTAAATAATTTAAATATGCTCACAAGAACAGAGTCATAGATTTGAGATAATCAATAAGAACAATCCAATCACTTTTCATATTGAGTTGATTCGAATTAATATTTTGTTTTTATTTAATAAAAAAAGAAAGCTTTTTTTGGAAGTTTCCTTTTTTTACATTTCATGTCCACAGGCCACGAAGGGTTGCCAAGCAATGCAATTTTATTTTTGTTGGCGGTAGAAACTCCTATAAAGTTTTTTTTTTCCTATCTGGATGATGGAATACAAATATTACTACTAGGCGAAATGCTTGCGAAATCTTTTTTTCTATTAATTGAGATTTGCCATGCAAAATGAATAAAGAGCAACTTTTCAAACAACGTCCCTTTTTTTGACATTTCGAAATTTTGTAAATATTAACTTGTCAACTGGCTAACTATTTCTGATTATTTTCTAAAATGATAACTGAAAATTATTTATAAAACACTACGCGCATATTTTTTTTTCTTATTTGTTAACATATAAATATAGCTGTAAAAAATCAGTCTATTTGATTTAGTCGACACAGAAATACTTCATTTTTTACTGTATTAATTTTTTTAAAGTCTACCTTGTATATTTCAAATTAATGTAGGTTTCTATATCGAAACATACTTCTTTATTTGACCCATATTTACATCGCGAACAGATATAGAAAATATACATTTGTAATATCTATAAACTATCATTCAAGATCGACTGTACTCTATTAATATCATTGTTATGAATGTGCATTATTACATCACATGTTTAAATAAAGAGTGATTCAAGAGTATGAATACCTCTCTGAGTAAATAAATGATATTTATGGTATTATAAAGAAAGATATTTAGAGATGTATGGATGTAGCACAATAACATTATCTTAATGAAATAATATTCATCACATGCGCTTGTTATGATGGCAATTTGTAGCAATTATAAAAAACAAAATGAAAAAAATGATTACTTAACTCGAACGAAGGCTAATGATGTAAAAATACTACAAATTTCAATATAAGACTAAAATAAATAACATAGTGGACATTAGAATAAAATAACTATATTGGAACATATTCTAGATGTATTTCAAGCTTGACACGAAAAAAATTTTTCCTAAGAATTTGTAATAAAGTTACTTTCTCTACTTTCAAAATACCGTATCTATTTTTGTATATTTAATCTAAAAGTCGTGAACGTGATGAAATTGTTTCACATCGCAAACTTTCGCTTAACTAAACGATGATTTTTTTAAATAATTTGTCAAAAGGATGACGATCTCACATTCTAATTTTCAAACTGAATTTTCACATAAATGACATGAACTATTAGAATCGATATGCAAATAAATGAAAACTTCCTTCTGATTCTGAATGCAAGTTTTCTATCTATACGTTTTGAGATCTCGTAAAGGCAAGAAATTGATTTTGCCCATGCTAACCTTGATGCAGTGGAAAGATAACTATATAAAAATAGCATTTGAAATGATTATCCAAGTTCTGATCTCCAATAAATGTAGTTGAAGAACTAAAAAGATGATATAAACTCTTTCTTTTAATACCATACAAACAAAACTATCAAACTCAATATGTCTAGGCAAGCAGACAAGGTATCCATTTATATACTCAACCCTTGTCTGTTGCTTGGTATAGACATGTCAAGAGAGAAAATACTAGTCTGAATGTTTTATTCTATCTTTAATGATAAATTGATCATGATTCGCATGAATTTATGAATATCAAAATCAAACAATACCATTTAATTACAAATGACAACAATATGCTAGAAAGTTTAGGAATATTTGCGTGTGTTAATTCGATTTCAGCATTGACTAATCGATCTATTTCTATGGCTATTACTATCAATAATCATGATGAATCAAGTATATCCTTTATAACTGTCAATCTATTAAGAGTCCAATGAAAAGTTAACTTAGATACGTATTTCTTCAAAAAATGAAATCTTAATGCAAAAGAGAAAAATAGCAGCATTATCTTCTTTTTTTGGGATGAACCTGGATGTATAGAAGGTGCAAATCATATTCAATTTATCATGAACATTGATACCTACACTCAATCCAGCTTGCCCACATATTTTTATAGAGCAGTTTGTAATGTCTCGTCTGGTAAAGAAACCAATTTAAAACTTGTAACCAAAGATGACATATCAACAGGGCATATTTTTTTATTCTCTATATACAATATCAAATATTGATATGCAGATATCCACTTAATAAAGTAAAAAAAGATTCGGGATTCACAATAATTAATGAAAATCACGGTACATGCATGAACAATGTTGAGAAATTCGATAAGATTCGATAATTTTTCTATTTAAAAAGAACGATTAAAATAGTTCTACTTTCATCAGAGTCGATTTCTTTAATCTATGTAATAAAGAATTGAATTTATCTCTTAATTTTAGCATATTTCTTACCTGAAGCAGAGAGAGAAATTTATGAAAGGAAAAAAAAGTGTGTTTAATATTTTATTGTGATCCTATTGGTCTGGGACACATTTTTTAAAATTTTTCTTACCCCTAACTGTAATCGATTGACGAGACATGAAGTAGTAACCGCAGCATTAGAAATATATTGAGAAAGAGACTATACATCACTTAGAAATGTATTTCGATTACAGATATTCTTTCTTCTTGAGGGTGTGGATGTGTGTGTGGGTGTGGGTGTTGGTCCATTTACACAATCATACTCGTCAAAAACTTGACATCGTACACATTCGTCTGTGACTTTTTCAATTTTTACTGATCATAAAAAAGTACAGAGTAGAAACTATAAACTTCAAACATACATTCATCTCTTTTGATCATTCAATTTTCTTACAATGATAAACGAAACACATTCCTTTGTTTTATATTTCAACAGAAGAAAGACTATTTCAGTCAAATGTCCTATTATCCTGTAATTAGAATGAATTAGTTGAAGGAACAAAGCAAGCATTCACTCATTGTACATGATTTGGCCGTTAAAATTTTTCTCAATATTAACCGTTCAAATTACTTCGGCCAATTTGGTTAGCAAAC